TTTTGAATTTAATTGAATTCAACTGAATTAATAAAAGATCGGTTGTTAGCATTTCATAATTTCCCCCTAAAATACAAAGATGTCCCTTGAGTTGAGCTTGACTCCTAGTAGCTGCATCCATGAAGTTTGCTTGCCAAAGTTATTGAAACTGTTTGCCATTACCTTCTTGTGGGATATTTTTTGACATCCTAGCATAGCCCTAGTGTCACATTAAAAATTACAATTTGGTAGCCAATTTTGGAAGTGTTCTGCCATCCTTTCTTCCAAATCTACATCTGTTTTCCCCATTATCTGCCATTCCCTCAAAGCTTGTTAAAGACCTTCAAATAAATGGTTAAGAGTAGCATTTATAGCCACTCATTCTGCTGACATGAAGAGGTAACAGCATTTTTAAAAGGAAGTATTTCATTTCCTCATCCATTGGATTACTGGTCCCTACAATATATAGTTCCATAAAGGAAGATACAGGTTTTACTATTGTCATTCCTAGATGAGATGATAATGGATTAACAGAGGCCTTGAAAATTGCTCACAAGAATTCAGTGGGTTGTGCAGCCAACGATTTCTTTCTCCATTTTGCTGACTGGAGAATTGCTCTTTTTTCACCAGCTCCTGGTGTTTTTATAATGGTGAGCTCTATCTCCCATTCAGAGAGGACAACACTATGAATTCAAAACCACAGACATGTATATCAGGTTTTTCAAGAGAATAAAATCAAATAATAGCTTGACTGGTAATTTTCCACTTGTGTTCAAATTATAGTGTTTTTCTTTTTGATGAAATAGAAAAAGTTAGAAATTTATTCAGGAACTCTATATACAAATAGCAAATTCTTTTTTAATTGCAGACTTTGATATAGCTGAAATAGCAATCATATGCAACAGAGGGAGTCACCAGCACATTCAGAGAAATCCCAACATTTGCAGAAAGAAATTAAAATAAAACTTTAAAAAAAGAAAGTACAAATCAGCCTAATTAGGACAAAGAAGTATTGCTGAGAAGTGGAGGGAGGGGGAATAAAACAAGTAAATAAAGAAAATGAAATTAACAGAACCTAGAACAAAGTCTGGTTTACTAGAACTCTGAACAAGATTTCCCCATTGCAATATGTTCTTGAATGGTGGACTTTTATGATGATCTTAAGTTTGCAACTTATGGAAAGAGGATTCCAAAAAGGATACAGGAAATAAGTATTTAATGTTACTCATCCCTTGAAATGAATGACATAATTTATGATATACTAGGTACAATTCACCATGCAGGCTATATATTACACATGAGTCTGTATAAGAGTCTATATAATGAGGTGTCCTTCTGGATATGAGAATTCCAAAGGTTAGCTATGCATTATGGGAAAAAGCACTTCCTTTTAATAGTCCTAAATTCCTTGCCTGTGAACTCTGGAGAATAAGGGGGCATTTTCTTCTTTACTGATCCTGTTAGTCAGTGTCATACTATATAATATATTATATTATATAATATAAAATCATACTATATAATGAATGTGTATTGAGTAAAATATTGTTAGTGCCTCTGGTTGGCTACCAGGTGACAGAATGTCAGACTTGGTTGACCTTTCCCTTTAACCAGATGATCTTCTTTTATGTTCCATTGACCCCTAGACATCTCCCAGATAAAGACAGAGAATACATAATGTCCCATGGCAACTACTCAGTGTGGAAAACTAGACCTTTGAGTGTGTAATGCTTCAAAGTTTTCTGTCAGCTTATTAGATAAGGTAGGTTAGCCCTCCTTAATTTGGTGTCCCATAGATGTGTTGGGACTGCAACTCCCAGAATTTGCAGACAGAATGACCACAGGAATTGTGAAAACTGCAGCTGAGTTGCATCTGGACAGTACAAGATTAGAGAAGCTCAGGAAATGAAATCAGCATCAAGCAGATCCTGAGAGGTGGAGATTAGGGTGAACATCACTGAATTAGACCTGCAAGCATCCAGAACAGTTTAGTTCAAAGCATAGCTCAAGACACTTTGATGGAAAATTCAGACACCACCACCCCCTTTTTCTCAAATGTAACATTAAGTAACCAAGAGTTTGCTGGGTTTCACTGCTGTCTAACAAAAAATGAAGACAGAGTGCCTGAAATGATCTGCTTCACTTTGTCTCTAATGGCTGAATCAGCTCCAGTTCAGGTCTGATACTAGATGGCAGTTATCAGAGAGCTTGTCCTCAAGGACACTTAACCTTGAAACTCTCTTTGAAATTAAGTTTTATTTTTGAAACCTCTTCTTCTGCATTTTTCTAAAGAGAACAGCCTCCCAACAAAACAAAGTTTTTAAAATCTTTTTTAATAGAAAGCTGTATGTTTATATCTGCTGCTGTTTTGTTTGCTTTAATTCTTATGAATGAATTCATGTTTACAAAGGTAGTAAATATGCCTTTGCCAAAAATAGGGACACAGCACACGCCTATCTGGTGGGTGGATAGCTACAAAATGACGCTTCATTATCCAAATCATAATTTCCGCAGGTGATTTCCACTCTTTAGAGACAAACAGGACTAGTCTGGTTTATAAATTGATGTTAATCAAAATGAACTCAGGAGCAAAATTCTGTATGCTACATCCAATTTAAAATGACAGCTTTGTTGTTATTTTTCCACAATAGTAACCCTGGACATATTGTTAGTTGGGGCAGCTTTCATTAATGTTGCAAAGAAGCAGACTTGAAAATCTGTCTTACATGGCAAAACCTTCTTGTTTCATAATTGGCTTGACAGAGGCACCACTTTATCATCCAGTATAATAGTAAAATAAGCAGATTCCACCTCCATATTATGCTAGGCAAATTTTATTCATTTTTAGGACATCAGTTTACAGGATTTGATGCAGAACAGCCTGATGTCAAAGCTTAATTCCATTAATCATGACACTTCCTGCAAAGCGTTTCTTCAATTTGATTAGTACGTAACAGATTTGTTGTAACTGGAATTCTTGATTAGTCCATAACATGTTCTTACCTGTCCATGCTTACTCAATACGTTTCATTAATTTTAATAAATCTGATTTCCAGGTATGCTGTCACTGAACTATAGTATCAGTGACAATTCTAACCACACTGGAAAGTCCTATTAAATGTGTTAACTGTTGGCTTTGGGGCTGATGGATAGGGAATCTCCTGGCCTGCAGTGAAAAAGTTACACCTTTACCACTTTGTAGTCCCACTTCACTTTGTAGTCCCAACTGTAGATATTATTAGGTATTATCTAGCTTAGCCCCAAGTGCTAAGAAACGACAATACTGAGATTTGCAGTCAAAGAACTGCCATCTCGAAGATCATGCATGAGATTCAAGCAAGAATAAATTGTGTGTTAAGCAATCTCAGAAACTTATTTGAAAAAGCCCTACAAAACCTCTAATTGCAAGGTTCCTAAAACATGCTGGAGCAGGTTCCTCAGATTCTATCCCCCCCCCCTTTCTGGGAAGGGATAATAAATAAAAGGTGTTTGTTCAGCTATCCAAAAGTCAACAAGATTCCTTCCTGCATGACCTTGGACATTCCTCTGATAATATGCTTCTAAACTTTATCAAAGAAATGTTATATAGAACACCTGAAATACACTATGTTAATTGCTAAATATTAACTACTGGGTGACAGATGTGTTTCATTTTCACAAACAAACAAGGTCCTTAACTAAAGTCAGCTATACTTGTTAAGGAGATAGTCATTTTAAGAGTACATGAGAAAATATGATTAATATTATGCATTATTTTTGGACACCCCCAAAAAGTATTTATTTGAATAGATAACTAGCTATTAAAGTCAAAATTAATGGCAGCAATCACTAACATCAGTAGCTTTACAGGAAAAAAAAAGCAAACCTATTAATGAAGGTTATGCGATGAATTCACTGCAACTTAAACTTTAAATTAAACTACCAAATTAATTATGTGCTGGAAGGAAATTATTAAAAACTGAACTATTTAAGGGGGCTTTTTATGTTTGAATGTGATTATCTAGTTACTGTGATTTGTTTTTTAGAACATATTTTATGTTATTTTGCGATTTTAACTTTTGATTGTACCATGGACATTTTATTCCAAATCATTGATTGTAACCTACTAGGATTCGATTAATTTGGCAGGCTAAAATCAAGTAAGTAATATGAAATGTAATCAGCATTTGGCTCCAACTTCAGAATTTTACTAAGAAATTCTAATGACTGTGTGCAAATGCAAACAAAAGATCACAAAAATGGAAAATAGAGCTGACCTGCAGCAAAGGACAGGCATTTACTATTAAATATTATGAAAAGTGCTCTGGGCTAAGAAATGGAAACCTAAAAAGATTCTTTTCTCAACATATACTGGCTAGGGATAAATTCACAGAATATCAGTTAAGGCTCCAGTTCAACAATAAGCTTAGTTCTAGAACAGAATAAGCAACCTGTGGCCCTAAATCCCCCTCTTTTTGACCCTTGCAATTGCAGTCATTAGTACATTATTTTGAAATGGAAAACACACTATAATATACGCCTTAAATAGACTGAACTCATTTTAACAGTGTGAAGACCCCTTCCCCCAGAAGAAAAATAAAAAATCCCAGCTCTGCTGATTTTGCATCATTGCCTCCACCAAAAACATTGTGCCCTAGCTACCAAAAGGTTACCCTTTCCATAAAAACTCTTAAAGAGAAATGTTATCTTCTAAGGTGGTTAGGATCTTGGAGCCTAGTCCAATATATTAACCATTTAAGTCTTGACTTCTCAACCCTCCCCCACCTTGTGAAAAGCAGCAAGCAAATAGGACAAAACTGTGCCATGGAGATACCCCAACCTCCATGTTCATCACACTTGACCCTCATCTGCCCTTTCCCATTCCCTACTCCTCCTGTGGATCCAGTAGCAAGCCTAGTGCCAAAGTACCAAGGAAGAAATCAGGCTTTGGCAAGAGCAATACTTTCTCTTCCTTTCTGCAGCCCAGACAGCAACCTGAGTATAGAAGGGCAGATGTTTACACACGCACAGACACAGGTCACAGATCCAAGCAAAACTATACATTTATTCCAGAATAGCTAAGAATATTCCTATTATACAAATACAGTATAAATTCCAAAGTCACAAAATAAAAAAGTACAAACTCCATTTAATAAATATATCTAACCATTTCAGTTCATTCAGAAATTGAAGAGGGTGGTTTCTACCTTGAATGTTTGACCCAGCAAACCATACAAACTTAGTATAAATACATTTGTACATAATACCAACATAAGCCAATCAGAAAACAAAATAATGTGATAAATTGCTGATGGACTATCAAGAGGCAGGCAGGAGGTATGTATACTCCTAAAAAGAATAAGACTACTTTTAAAGAACCATTGTGTCTTCAACCTTTTAAAACCACATGTGTAATTAAAAAAGAAAAAAAGACCAATCAATCAGACAATAAAATGAAAAGCCAGCTTACTCCAGCTAACTGAACACAGAAGAGACCCAATCGCGCTCAACCATTGTTGAAAAAGCCACATTCCAATTATCTCAAGAAATCCTGCTCGCAGTGGTTAGTTCTTCTAAAAGTTGCTAGGTAAAAATTAATTTCGTACTAAAATTAAATTGTTAAAAGGGTAACTAAAATCAATTTTCATCTAATGAGAAAGAACAAAAATTGTGGGCTACAGTACAATGTTTCATTGAAAGAATGATATTGTGCACATTTCAGATATTAACATAAAATAATTGTTAGGCTATCAGCCATATAGGAAAAAAAATCTACAGGCAAACAAACACTAAAATTAAATTTTATTTTGGCGGTGAAGAAAGGTTAAAAAAGGAAGTGCAAAAAGAAAAAAAAAATCCCCTCTTAAGGAACAGAGCGCATGGAAATAGAAGAAGCATTATATATACAAAAGAAGAGACAGGAAAATAACCAGTATCTGATACTGTATATACAAGCATTCATTGCAAATCTCATTCTCCATTCCTTCCCCTCAAGTTCTTGCCCCATGTAAGAATTACAACTGTTGGAGGAAGAAATGGAGAACAATTAAGGCACCAGAATAGCAGGCAAGGGATGCAATGCCTATCTCAGGAACAGGCATTCTGCTCAATGTACATCTTGGACAACGACACTGCCATGGATTTGGCCAGCTCCTCGTCCCTCCTGCGCTGCACCTGAGTCTGCCTGCACCACTCCTCATATTCCGGATTGGGGCACTGACGATCTAGCACAGCATCATAGTGCCCATTGCTAAGCCAGCTCAGCCAAATGCTGCGTCGGCTCGGGTCCTCGGGGCCCAGGTAGTGGGTCATGGTGGAGACAGTGGGGCTCTCGGGCCTGCCCCCGGTGGTGAGGTGGATGTTGACGTTCAGCATTTGTCCCATGGCCAGAAGCTCGGGGTATCCGGCCCAGGCACCATCCTGGGCTGCGTTGATGAGGAACTCTCCCACGTCGCCCTCAATGATGGGGCTGAAATGGTCCAGGTGGTCGGCGATATAGTGCACCGTCTGTTCCCGGAGGTCCCCATGCAGCCGCTGGTCCCCGTTGACGGCCTTACAGACAGCGCGGTACAAGCAGTTGCCGTCGGGAATGATGTGGAAGCGGAAGCGGCCTTTGTGCCGCAGGTACTTGTCCTGTTTCTCCACCTCGGCCAGGTACAGCGCCAGCTTCTCGCTCCGCTCCGTCGGACGTACCTGGCAGGGGCTCTCCTCCTCGGCAACCTCTAACGCGCTGCTGGGCTGAGGCTCTACGGTGAGCCCTGAATAGGGGCGGGCTGCGGCCGCCGCTTGCAGGGCCT